TATGTGAATCTTCCACAATACCTTTGGGCTGAAGCTGTATCCACTGCATGTTTTACTCAAAACTGATCTTTTATCCATCGTCGATTTAATATCACTCCATATGAAATAATCAATAATAGAAAACCTAATGTGAAAATTTTCCATGTTTTTGGGTGCAGGTGCTTCATTATGAATCTTAAGGACAACCTTTCAAAATTTCAAGCAAAAGCTAATGAAGGGATTTTCCTTGGATATTCGTATAATTCAGTCTCCTATCGGGTGCTAAACAAAAGAACACGAAAAGTGGAGGAAACATTCAATCTTACATTTGATGATTTTTGTATCAAATAAACTGATTTTTTTAAAAAAAAATCATCCTATTTTGAAAGAAATTCATGAAGAATCTGAACCTTCACAATCATTGGATATTGATTATGATTTGATTTTTGGAATTTCAGATCATGCTATTGATGCTGAAGTTAATGCCAATGAGAATCATATCCTTGAATCAACGAAGTTTAATGAAAATTCAACATCACATCATCGAACAATGGACAAAAGTATGCATATTAATCCAGTGGAGGTGGAGCACTTGGATTCGAACACTATTATTGAGGGGGAGCATTCTTTCGAGGGGGAGAATAAGAGAGTGAATGCTGATGTTGAGGGGGAGCAAATTGAACAAAATGAAGATTTTCATGATCTTAATGATGCATGCTTAATTGCAGGTTCAGAACATGATGATCTATACGAAGATGCACCTTTGGAATTTGATTCAGCTTATCCACCAATGGAAAAATAGACAAAGGATCATCCAAAGGAGCAAATAATTGGTAATCCACAAGAGGGAGTCTTAACAAGAGCTCAAATTCGTGCGAAGAATGAGGTATTAAATGTTCGTCAAGAATTTTGCATTTTCAATGTTTTTATCTCTAAAATTGAACCAAAAACTGTTAAGATTGCAATGGAACACTCAGATTGGGTTGTTGCAATGCAATCTGAATTGTATTAATTTGAACGAAATTAGGTTTGGAGATTAATTCCTAAGCCAAATGATGTTTCGATTGTCGGGTTAAAATGGATTTTCAAAAATAAAACCGACAAAGATGGAAACATTATTCGAAACAAAGCCAGGCTTGTTGTTAAAGGTTATTTTCAACAAGAAGGAATAAATTACGAAGAAACTTTTGCCCCTGTTGCAAGACTTTAGGTTGTTCGTATATTTCTGGCTTATGCAACTCACAAAGACTTTGATGTTTTGCAAATGGATGTGAAGTGTGCATTTTTAAATGGAGAGCTTGAAGAAATTGTTTATGTTGAACAACCCCCAGATTTTATTAACGAAGAACATCCTGATCATGTTTATATCTTAGATAAGGCAATTTATGTTTTGAAACAAGCACCACGAGCATGGTGTGCAACGCTAACTTCATTTTTGAAACAATCTAAATTTAAAGAAGGATCAGTTGATCCCACATTATTTCGAAAGAAAGTTGGGAATCATCTAATGATTGTTCAAATTTATGTTGATGATATAATTTTTGGCTCAACTGACCCTGCTTTGTCTAGTGAATTCGAAAATTTAATGAATAACAAGTTTGAAATGAGCATGATGGGAAAATCAATAATTTTCTTGGATTGAATATTCATCAAAATAGAGAAGGTATTTTTATCAATCAAGAAAAATATACGAAGAATTTGCTAGGGAAGTTTGGATTGACGAATAGCACAAAATTACGAGTTTCGATGGCAATTGGCATAAAGCTGACACCTTCGGTAAAGAAGCATGATAGGTTTGTTACTTTATCTTACTGCTAGTAGACCTGACATCATGTTTTCTGTGTGTAATTGTGCTAGGTATCAGTCAAATCCACGAGAACCACATCTCACTACTGTAAAGAATATATTTCGTTATCTTAAACGAACAATTTCGTTAGGATTGTGGTATCCTTAAAAAACTGGGTTCTTTGTTCAAGCTTATTCGGATGCAGATTTGGGAGGTTGTAGTCTTGATAGGAAAATCATGAGTGGTGGTTGTCAATTTCTTGATGGCAAATTGGTGAGCTGGTAGTCGTAGAAGCAAACATGTGTATCAAATTAATCTACTGAAGCAGAATATGTAGCTGTTGCTGCTTGTACTTCACAAATCATTTGGATTCAAAGCCAATTATAGGATTATGCAATTAATATGAAAAAGATTCCATTATATTGCGATTCTCAAAGTGCCATAAGAATTTTTTATAATCCTGTGTAGCATTCAAAGACTAAACATATTTCTCTTCATTATCATTTCATCAAGGATCATGTGGAAGATGGAAATATTGAAGTGCATTTTGTGAAAACAACACATCAGTTAGCTGATATTTTGACAAAACCTTTAGATGTAAAATCTTTGTCAGAATTTTGGAAGGACTTGGAATGATTGATGGAAATTCTGTTCCATGCGGAAAAGGAGAATGATGGTAAAAAAGAAATGGTTCATAGACACGCCATCAAAGAAAAAAGTTACTGTTCATAGTCAACTCTTTGAATCCTTCGAATTCGTATATTTGTCATTTTTTTGAGTGTTTAAATTTCGTATGTTTGCAACAACTACATTTTTTTTATTTTTGAAAAATCAAAAATACCAAAAAGAATTTTTTTTATTTTCAAAAATTCAAAAAACAACCAAAATATTTTTTCTTTCTTTTTCATTGTTTGTTGTAGAGTTTCATGCTCAATCTCTTGAAGTAGTGCTTGCAGTTCTAGGGTCAGGTATTTTTCACACACTTTGAACTAGTTAAGATGTCCCTAGAAGCATGTTGCAGCATGTTCACTAAAACCTCTAATTAACTCAATGTTCAAAAGCCTTAATGAAATTTGCATATGAAGATTTCTTCCCAATCAGGCTTGTATTCACATTAGTCTTCTAAACTACCTGACTCTTCTCACATGAGTTAACAGTTTACTATTTGGTCCAAAAATAAAAGAGGTACATGTTCTTTCTTATACCAATATTTTTCATCTCACAATTCTTACACTATCACATTGGAAGACATATGTCCAAGAGGTTTCTGATCAAACCAGTCGAAACCTATACATATCACAAATCTGTGTTTATGATCAGACATCATGAGACCGTGATGAAAGTGAAACCCAGATCAATCAACATTTAAGGAATTGACGTGGAACTATGTTCCAGGCTTTAACAAAACATTTGTTTTTGTATCTTAATTCGAAACGCCTAATCATATTCATTTCTTATGAGTGGTCTTGATCAAACATTTGAAACCCACGATGTTTGTTACCCAACAGGATCCAGAAAACAATTTTTTTTCTTGAATATGATTTCAGTGTGAGTTTTATCTGAACTTTAATGTTACTTAAAAGTTTTTCAAAGCAAAATTGTCACCGACTACACTGGTCAAATAAGTAATTTCTGTTACACTTACTCACCTTATGTTTAGGTTGATATGTAACGAAATTCATTAAACCACCTCAAAAGTCTTTTAAAAGAAGCCCTTCGATACTTCTTTACAAGTATTTGATTGTAATTCACGGGAACATACACAAGCTGTTGATTATCTCTTTTGATAATTAACAAAGCAATCTTTGCCCGGGGTTTTAGCTCCTTTCGTGTCAAATTGAATTTTTGACATCACTGAATATCCAAAAAAAAGTTGTTTCTTCTCATCTATATTCTTTGAAACACTACACACACGAAATCATTGAGGTTCAGAGTAACACCAACTCAGGCTGATGATTTCAAAAATCTGGCAAATGACTTTACTTTGAAACCCTAAAGTAAAAGAGCCTTACTTCCATACGAAGGGTTCCGACGGTTACTATTCCATTGGGGAAAACAATCCAGCCTGTTTGAGGGGACTTTTTGTATTCTGTCCGAGTTTTGAGGAGACGTGATAGTTACTTTATCACGCATGGTTACTTTTTCATCGTCATGATGCGGTTTTCTCGGTGACACGTCATAGTTCATTAAATGCTCATCCCGCTTTGATTTTAAAATCAAGAGTTACATATAAAAGGAGATTCAAGGGTTCATTATCAATTTACACTTTCAAATTCCCAAATACTCTCTAATAAAAATCCAGCTTTCAAACCCTAACAATGGCGACTGCTGCTAATCTTCATGCAACACTTTCTCACACCATAGATGATGTTACCTCGTTTCTAATTATGAAGATTCAGGGTACAAATTACCAAGTAGAAGTGACTGTTTCTCAATACCCTGAAGAACTCAAGATGCTAATCGTTGCTCTAAAGAGTTTTGTACTGTCAAAAGCCATGTTCAACTCATTTTCTGTTCCGCTTTCATGGCTATCTCAAGCTGGATCAACTGTTACTTATTCGAAAGCTTTGGATGCAGTTAATTTCAATCTGGTGACTGATAAAAAGGTCAGACTATCAAAGAAGCTTTTCTATCAGATTCTCGACATCCCTAATTACCCACCATATGTCACTTTTACCTTTCCACAAATTGTACATATGTTCAATGAAATGGGTCATCAACCTCAACTATCAAAGATAAGTGACTTCAAGAAGTCGGGTCTTCCTAGTGTTTGGAATTTCTTGTTTGGCATTTTCCTGAGGTTTTTAACAGGAAGAACTATTGGTTTGGATAATGGGAGAATGGAGGTTTATACCATGCTATCAGGGCTATATTATGATCTTCAATTCGATTACTCTACTCAGTTATGAAAAGAATTCTTGAAGAGTATTGAAAACACGAATGCTCTTCATGGCATTTCTTGTGCGAGATATTGGAGCTTGATTTTACAATATTTCTATGAGAAGGAGGGGATTCTGGTTCCCGCTGATGAAGAAAAAGTTGTTTTTCATGTGTATAATTGTCCGAAGGATGCAACTGATAATACTAAAGAGTTCCAGTTGTTGCTCGTATTCCAGATGCCATGATTAAACGAGTTGATCATTCAAACACAGTTTTAGTGACTTACTTGCAAACAATCGATACAACTGTTGAAACTGAAATTATCTTGGAAAGGGAAGAGACGAAGTCCAAACATATGGAGAAGACTGATGCTGGTTTTTCTGAGAAACAAGTCAAGGAGTCTAAATCTACGAAGATTCCGAAGAAATTACCAGTTATAGAAGCAGAGCCAAAAATACCTGAAGTTTCAGTTGCTGATAAACCATCAACTAAAAAAGAAATCATTCCTTCGAAGACTGGTGTTTTTCGAAGAATAAAAATGAAATCCAAACACAAGAGCCGATCTCCACTCACAAATGTTGTCCAAAAGCCATAGGTTACTCATCAAGGACTTCTAATTCGTGAGATTCCTGCACCTGCTTCACCTTCTTCAAAGAAACGAAGGGCTACTGATATGGCTAAACACATTTCCAAGAAGAAGAAGAAGAAGAAGAAGAAGAAAACCAAAATGATCATCTCTTCTGAGTCTACAACTAATGAAGATGAAATCATTCCAGAAACTCCAGAAGCCGATCTTAACAAATAATCTTCTACTCCTACACAGACAAATGTTATACCACCTGAAGATTCGGTTGCCAAGTCAATTTCTGAGGAGGCACGAACTTCTGACATTCTTGTAAATGTATCTAATATGAATGCAAATGTCATCATGGGTGAGGATGCTTCACAGAAAGTTGACCAAGGTAAAACTTCGAATGTTACCTCAGAAATTGTTGTATATTTCCCTTCACAAATCACACCTATCATTCCTGCTACTTCCACCACTGATTCTCCTACCTTCGAAAACATTATCAAACACCCAATTACTTCTCTTTTTTCTTCACAATCCACTGATCCACCCAACACAACTTCACCAATTCAAGAGTCTATTTTTATGGAAATTGAGCATGAATAAGAAGGTTTTGGAGGGACGTTTGAAAATTTAGAGTTTGATGAAGAAGAAACTGATTTCCCAGATCACATGCTAATGACCATGAAGTAGTTCAAGATCTTGAATACAAAGCTCAATTCAATTCTTCATTCACAAGCAGATCTTGGGGGAGGTAATTCAGTAACTAGTTTAGAAGTTGATGGTCTGTTAAAATTGCTTGAAGGGAAGATTACTTCAAAAGTTTCAGGAATGATCAAAGATTCCGAGTCTCATCTCTTATAGAAAATTGATATTTGTGATCATAGCAATGAGATGAGGGTAAATTCTCAGAAGTCTACTTTTGAAGGTGATTTGAAAGAGTTGAAAATGGTGGAAAAGGAATGTCATGTATTATTTGTTCAAGATGTTAAAAAGGTGAGAGAAGATGTGAATTTTAAACTTCAAGAGCTTCGCGAAGACATGGAAAAAGAGATTGTAGTTTTTCGCACAAAATTTGCATCTCTAAATCAGAAGGTGGATATCATTTGTGATGCTGTAACAAAGTTTGCCAAGTTGTATGAAATTCTGAGTCCTCAAATAGCTCAACTTTCTACAACTGAAAACAAGAATTTTATGGAAGTTTTCACACTGTTAAAGGAGCTCAAAGCCTTATCTTCCACACCAGCTTCGTTTTCTCAACTATCTTCAAAAGATCTTATCAAGAAGTTTTCTCAATTTGAAGCCTTACTTCTCCAACAGTTGGCTCCTCTTTCCTGCATATCCAGCCTTCTTCCCATAAGAAATGCCCTACCTGCTAGTACAGGGGTGCAAGGGGGAGAAAGCAAAAGTGAAGGATTGAAGGATGGAGGTGATGATGCGAAGGTGGTGGTAAAAGTATTTCCTTTGAAGATTCCAACAACAAAACCAGTGATAGCATATGCTGGTCCTATTTCTTCGACAGTAGTAACAACTGTGCTGTGACAACCATCAAATTCTGGTCAATTCAAAGTCAAATAAAGTCAACAAGTCAAACCGGTCAGCTCAACTAACCCTTGTGTACTTGGACTTACGTTCAGTATTTACTAAACAACTCGCTATTCTGATAAGAAAACATAAATCGAAAAGTACGTACAACTAGATCTCTTTAACCTAAAAACTGTAGTACGTGGCGAGCCAAACTGGTAAAACAATGATGCATACTCATCGGGAGTGTGTAAGATCCTTAAACAAGGCTTAACAGGGTTTACGAACCATGCATTGCGATGCCGGACACTCACAATTGTCACACATGGATCCTCTCTCAATCGTTTTCACTCTATCTCTCTCTATGTCAAATCTCTCCCAAATCTCTCCAAGTATGTGAAATCTCTCTCAAATATTTCTTTGTATGAGAAATCTCTCCAAGAATGTCAAATCTCGCCCAAATCTCTCCAAGTATGTGAAATCTCTCTCAAATATCTCTCTGTATGAGAAATCTCTCCAAGAATGTCAAATCTCTCCCAAATCTCTCCAAGTATGTGAAACCTCTCTCAAATATCTCTTTGTATGAGGAATCTCTCCAAGAATGTCAAATCTCTCCCAAATCTCTCCAAGTGTGAGAAATCTCTCCCCAAATCTCTCTCAAAAGTTTCCCGTAACTTCTTGGAATCATTCGGGTCATTCCGGCCCTTAACCGGGTCAAAAACGGCTTGAAACGGGGCGAAAACGAGAAAAATAGGCTTTAGGAACCGAAACCGGAGTGAGAGGCTTCTTAGACCAGAGACCGAGCCTCTGGTGGCTAAGAGACCAGAGACCGAGCCTCTGCCTCTGTCGCTTCACGCTCTGCTCCTCTCGGTCTCTGTTCGCTACTCCGCCCCTCTGTCTCTGTTCGCGCCCTCTGTTCCCTTCTTCTCGCTCTGCCTATGTCTCGCGCCCTCTGTTCTCTCCTTCCCCCTCTCGGTTCCTTCCTTTCTCTTCTCTCCTCTCGGTTCTGCCTCCCTCTCTCTCTCGGTTCAGCACCAGAAGGCCGAGCCTCGGCCAGAATTCGCATATTCGTCATTTTTAGCCCATTTTTGATATTTTTAACATTTTAAGCCCGTTTTTCGTGATTTTAAAGCGGGATTTTCTCCAGAAATTATATTTTAACATAATAAACTCTAAATATTCATAATTTAAACATATTTTGATGAAAATTATTATTTAAATAATAAAAATCAAATGGGTGAATTATTAAAGGTGGAGTGTTGACTTTGCCTTATCCAATGTCACAAGCAACCACCCCACACCCACTCTTTGACTAACCACACCTCTCCACCTTACCTAGGTCACATCAAAGTCCTTTCCACCCAATTTACACTCATTCCCACGTTTTTAGAGCTGAAACAAACATCCTCTCTCCTCATTTTCTCTCATTTGCCCTCATTTCACTAAGTATCAAACACCACTTTCTCTCAAACTTTTCCCACTCCAAACTCGAGATTCAAGGCTGATCTTCACGTGTTCTTCCACTCTTAGTAAGTAAAATTCATCCTCCTTATGATTATTTCACTTCATTCTACTCAAATCATGAATATCTTACACAAACTCCATCATATTAGCGTTAGAGCTTCGAATCTTCAAGTGATTCTTCAAGTGTTCTTGGGTTGAACACTTCTCTTCTTCAACACTTACCTACTGAAATCACTCAAGGTGAGTTCATACCCCTACATTTTCATGTTTTCTCAAGTTTTCAGGGGGGGAATACAAGTTAAAACACTAAGAACATAACTAAATTTTTCTAACAGCCTTCATCAGAAAAGTTCAACTCCATTCACGGACTGTTTTGGGCATCTTAAACATTTTTGTTTTCAAAACTGTACAAGGTGCAAATAGTTCAAGTTTTTAGCTTTAAAATGGCTACTTGCACACAACAATCCGGACCAGTCTGTGATTTTGGACTTTTTCACCCAAGTTGGAGGTCATTAAAAATCGTGATAAAAATTATGAGTAAACTAGACACATTTTGTGAACTCTCAGAATTTACGGATCTAGTTTTTGACTTCGTATGATTTTTCTATGATTTTTCCAAAAACAGGGCAGAATGGCTAAAGTTAGCCAACAGCATGTAAATATCATAACACTTTGTATTATGTTGAGCAAAGTGTATAATCATAAGTTCTAATATTTGAATGTGTTTCCCTATTAGTTTATCATTATGAACCGAAACTAAGACATTCATATTAAATATTATTCATTCATTTTGGAACACGTATTATTTAACTATAAAAAGTATAGTTTGAATATATTTATAACACTAATACATTTCCATAAAAGGGTTCATACATATTATATACATTTTAGATAAACTATAATAGGTATAGTTTATGATACATCACTCAACGCACTCGTACAAGAAGGGTACATTCATACAAGAAAGATTTCTATTCACACACATTTCACGTAAATTTGTTAATCTATGGTTTGATAAATTCACAACACTAATACATTTCCATAAAAGAGTTCATACATATTACATACATTTTAGATAAACTATAATAGGTATAGTTTATGATACATCACTCTACGCACTCGTACAAGAAGGGTACATTCATACAAGAAATATTTATATTCACACACATTTCACGTAAACTTGTTACCCTATATTGTGAGACTCTCTCTCTCTCTCTCTCTCCCGTACGTCCGAGTGCGGGATATAATTCCTGGTAGTTATAATCAGAATCTCCTTGAGGGAGAACGTGATACTTGTATATAGATCTATATTGGGATTGACACCCCACACCTTGCTGCTAGCTACAGTTGGACCTGCAGGTCTACGGGTGACAAATGTCATTTCATTTTTCGCGACACTGAGAACGTCGTGGCAGGTTCACATAGTCATAGTATGATTATAACGACTCACATAGGGATATAACAATCCATAAGTTTACGGGATTTTATTTTAAAAATCTAAATGAGTTTTATGTCGATTTAAAATCACCTTTTTTATCTCTATGAGTACAAATATTACTGTACACTTTTGGTTTTGGTAGTTACGACTACACATCATTTGAAACCACATTTATACTTTTAAGTATGGTCAATACTTGTTATTTCTCAGTCCTCTAATTTAGGACTACGTATATACAAAGTGCCGGGTCTCTATACAAAGTTATTATGATATTAAAACTATACTTCCTCTAGAATTGTTAGACTTCAACTATAGTCGCTGAGCGTATATGTTTGAGTCATATAAGAATTTAGTCTTGGTTGGCCTAGAATTGGTGGTGCCCGCCTCATCTCCTGTTCCTCGTTGGGTTGTGGACCTAGGGCAGACCCACTATATTCAACGTTTTATCTAATTTAAATCTTATATAACTTATATACACTGGACGATTATAGAGGAACTCTACGGGTCATTCTAGGGTTCATTAATGCATCATATAGGAATATTTCTATTCACACTTAACTAAGAAAATATTGGATTTTCTGGAAATCAAACTATATCGATCTTACAAGGAAAAACGGTTTCTACTTCAAACAAAACTCTTATGAACTCACCAACCTTTGTGTTGACACTTTTTAAAACTACTTGTATTCTCAGGAAATCAGTGAAACAGGAAAACTTCATCGCTTTGAGGATGGGACGTTAAACCGTCAACAAATTTATTTTGTCATCATAATGTAATTGCTTTTGAAACATGTAAACATATACTTTGGTG